ACTGAATTTGTTACATAATGAAAAAGGTTACAATAGCCAGAGTTCCCAGATTGCCTAGAGTGCTCAACACCACAAGGATGGAGCATTACCACTAAGGCCCACAAAATCTAAAATCCTGCCAATGTTACAATACATTCACACAGCTACTGCAGAATGCAACATACTAGTTGATATCCAGCCCTGCCCTAGCTCCCCGCGCTTCTCTTACTTTTCAGTTCCCCTTTCATTCTTTTTCTTTCTCCCCTCTAGCTCTATCACCGCCATGGCTGGCTATCGCCCACATCACCATTCCATTGGCTAGTGCCACGTGATTGTGAATAAATAAATAATTATAGGTTAGTGCATGGCAGGGAGGGCCTTATGGCTTGTTAGTGCCCGACAGGTTAGCCTGAGGGCCGTAGGCCCGAGGGCTACCCTGGAGGGCACAAACAAGCCATAAGTCCCTCCCTGCCATGCACTAACTATTTTAGAACGAGGTTACATGCATTATCTCACTTCCATCATGCTTGTTTACCTTAATATTGGGTAGTTTTGTGGTTTGTGTGCAGAGAGACTTGGTGTGGTATGGAAGAATATTTTCTTCTGGTAAGTTATGGTAACTCAGCACCACTTAGGACTACTAAAAGTAGAATAGAAGCAAATGAAATGCTGGGCTCTTATTGCGAGCTTCATTCTTATTCATAGCTTGTGGAGCTATTTAGGGGATTTGAGAGCCCCTTGTCGATACCTCTAATGACTTCGATCTTCGGTTTTTATAGGTTTCCGCAAGCTGTTGACAAAGGAAATTCGTACAGATGAAAGAATACGGGAGTTAAAAACCGTACACACTTCTGAAATGCGTAGCTTTTAGTAGTACACCGTACATTTTATGCAGAGCTCATTATCTGCACCGTACTATTTTTTTTAACTTTTTTTCTTCGTTTTTTCCAATCGAACAAGAACAAAGTAATACAGCTAGCGTGTGTTGAAGAAGAAAATAAGCGGAAACGTACTATGCTGTGAAATCGATCTGCACCACATACTATTGTGTATCAGCGACATGAAAAAGAAAAGAGAAGGCACTATGAGGAGCGGGTGAGGCAGGTTGAGCAAGCCTCCTTTGTTCCGGCGGTCATGTCAGCCAGTGGCGGAATGGGTCCGGCATCAACAGCACTGTACAAACGAATTGCTCATCTGTTGGCGGAGAAGAGGGGTGAGCATTACTCTCATGTTATGGCATTTGTTAGATGCAGGATTTCCTTCAGCCTTCTGAAATCCTGTATCATGTGCATTCGCGGTTGTAGGCGTTTAAATTTTGGTTTGAAATTTGCACCCTCCTGCGGAGCCCACGCTGCTTTGGCAGTGGCGGAGGCTCGCTTGCCGACGTAACCGTCGGAGATCATCATGAACAATGGACTGACTAATTATTCACTTGTCCTGTCTTTATAAATAACATGTTATTGCATATGTTCTTGGTTTAAAAAAAAAAAAAAAAAAAAAAAAAAAAAAACTATGCTGTGAAACACGCATGAGGCATGATCAGCGCAAATGACAGCTGAAAAGAAAAGGAAAGAAAACAAACACACTTGTACACACACACACACGCACTCACACAACAACAAGTGCCATACGCATGAATGTTAACGGCCAACGCCAAGGCGACACCATCGAAAATTGCCAGCCCACCGAGACGACGGCGTGAACCCCGGAGACGAAGGTCGACAGCCCGGAAAACAGCAAACTGATGGTGGATCCGCACCCAGGACATGACGTTGCTGTAGGCACCGTACTATAATGCATACAGGGAGTTGTACGCACCAGTTTAGAGTATATTCAGCGGGCTTTAAACTAATCCAAGGCCCTCGACGCGTCATCAAGAGTAGTAAAATAACGATTGAGCGGGCTTTAAACTCTGATAAGGCCCTTGGCGGGAATGTCGCTGATTGGTCGTTTCCTGGACAACGAGACAGACCTCGTTCTAAAATAAATTAGAACGAGGTCTGTCTCGTTGTCCAGGAAACGACCAATCAGCGACATTCCCGCCAAGGGCCTTATCAGAGTTTAAAGCCCGCTCAATCGTAATTTTACTACTCTTGATGGCGCGTTGAGGGCCTTGGATTAGTTTAAAGCCCGCCGAATATACTCTAAACGGGTGCGTACAACTCCTGTATGCATTATAGTACAGTGCAGATAATGAACTCTGCACAAAATGTACGGTGTACTACTAAAAGCTACGCATTTGAGAAGTGTGTACGGTTTTTGCCTCCCGTATTCTTTCATTTATACGATTTTCGTTTGTCAACAGCTGGCGGAAACCTATAAAAACCGAAGATCAAAGTCATTAGAGGTATCGACAAGGGGCTCTCAAAGCCCCTAAATAGCTCCACAAGCTATGAATAAGAATGAAGCTCGCAATAAGAGCCCAGCATTTCATTTGCTTCCCCTCTACTTTTAGTAGTCCTCAGTGGTGCTGAGTTACCATAACTTACCAGAAGAAAATATTCTTTCATACCACATCAAGTCTCTCTGCACACAAACCACAAAACTACCCAATATAATGATACAAAAGCATAATGGAAGCGAGATAATGCATGTAACCTCGTTCTAAAATAGTTAGTGCATGGCAGGGAGGGTCTTATGGCTTGTTTGTGCCCTTCAGGGTAGCCCTCGGGCCTACGGCCCTCAGGCTAACCTGTCGGGCACTAACAAGCCATAAGGCCCTCCCTGCCATGCACTAACCTATAATTAAGGCAGAAGGGAACAGAAACAGCCGGCTAGGGTTTTGCTGTAACGCTGCGTTTCATGCACATAGCAAAGCTAAGGCAATCCTCAGACAACTGATAACCTGTACATTATCTGGGTCCAAATTTATACCCAGGCAGGTAGCTAAAACAGGGCGGGCAAAGTGAGTAAAGCGCGAAAAAGCAGGTGGCAAAAGCGAGACATTAGTGTGACATTTCAAGTGATTTAATTCTGTTTCAGAATTTCGGACACAATTTCGCGCTCATTATAAACAGCATATATTTGCCTGCGCAAGTCGCTTCACTTGTATTTTTTTCTTTTTTTTCTACAAAATCCACATATCTCCAGACACTGGGGTGAATAATGGAGTGTGGTGGTGGGACCCATTAAGCTCCGCCGACCAGAGGTCTCGGCTTCATAGCTCCATGGACACACCAAAGGGATATAGGGTAGGGAGGATTAAATTGAAAAAGAAAACAGAAGAAAGAAAATGGAAAGATTGCATTGCTCAGGGAGCAAAAGAATAAGTTGAGTATTGAAGTGAACGCTGTTAAACTTTTAAATTCAAGAGGAGACTGTCTGTGAGGACAGCTGGGCACTTGACCGGTCGGCGCAGAGTCTCCTCCATGCTCTTCGTTTCTGTGCCACACCTCAGTGCATTCCGGTGTCCACCAAGAGGGGTTAGATGGTTTCATACACAACTGCTTAGACGGAGAGAGTGTATGTCCAAGCAGGGTAGGACACTGTACCCTCTTACTCGCGTATGCTATGAGTAGCCCAGTGGCAGTTCGTTCTGAGGAGATGGTGATAAGCTGCTGTCTTGAACTTTTGGATGTTCTTTCGGTGAAATGGGTGGGGAATGACAGAGGAAGGCAGCTGGTTCCAAATTGGGATGACGGAGTGGGGAAAGGCTCGGCTCACATTGTTCCGGGAATTGGCAGGAAGAACATTCTGTAACTGATGAGGATGCGCGATGGACAGTCGTACAGCCTGGCGGGTGAGGCGTGTGGTCCTGGGTTGGTGTGT